CCTTGTCTTGCAGCTCTCAACTCCTCAACCGTCATGGCTATCCGATGGGGATACCCCCTAGCAGCAGCTCTTGGCACCAAGGGCAGGGGATGTGGAGCTTGGTCCTAATTACCCGCGCTCCAACTGTTCTCAGTCCTCACCGAGGAGACAACTAGGACCCATCCAAAGACCCAACAGCTAGAGTTGTGGCTGGCACATGACTTTCTTGGGCCTCTAAATCACCAGTTTGGGGGCTGGATCAGAAATCAGCATTTCAATCTTCTTGGTACAAGCATAGTGGAGGTTAGGACTAAAGAATCGGAGTGGCAGAGCTGGAAGGATCTGTAGAGATGAGCTGGTCAGACCCCTTATGCATATGGAGAAACTGAGGCACGGAACAAGGAGACTTATTCAAGTTCACAGAGCATGTCAGTGCCAGAGCTGGCATTCTCCTTAAAGGGGTTTCTCCATCAGCCTCCCCCTGCAGAGTTGGGGCTGGAAGGAGGTGGGAGAGAGCATGGATGGGGATCCTCCCTGCTATGGCAAGATAGGAAGTGCTCTCCCAAACAGTCACTGGTACACCTGGTTACTCGTCCTTAATAATTTGGCAGCATGTTGATAACACCTTGTGGCTGGCCCAGGGTACGATGACTTCAGAGGGTAGTAGGTCTCTGATGAAACATCAGTGATGCCTCCAGGATTTCTGCAGAGGAGGAATTTAGGGCCAGAGATCTGGGGGGAAAGGAGACTGAGATTTGCCCTGAAGCTGCGTTTGCACAGCGAGTCTACTGCTGTCACTTAGATCATGGTTTCTCAGTTCCCACACTATTGACATTTTAAGCCGGATAATTCTTTGTGGTGGGGGACTATCCTGTGCCTTGTAGCAGCTCTCAGTCTCTACCTACTGGACGCAAGCAGCACCTACCCTCCCAGTGTGTCTCCAGACATTGCCAAATGCACCCTGAAAGGCAAACTGCCCCATTTGAGATCCACTGACTTAATTATATGTTTAACTAGCTGAGAGGGCATGATGGAGAGTCTTCTAAAAGAAGAGAGGAGATAAAATAGGAGCCACCCTTTCCTTTTTTTTTTTTTTTAAAGATTTTATTTATTTATTTGAGAGAGAGAGAATGAGAGATAGAAAGCACGAGAGGGAAGAGGGTCAGAGGGAGAAGCAGACTCCCCGCCGAGCAGGGAGCCCGATGTGGGACTCGATCCCGGGACTCCAGGATCATGACCTGAGCTGAAGGCAGTCGTTTAACCAACTGAGCCACCCAGGCGCCCAGGAGCCACCCTTTCCTACAAGGAAAAAAAAATCATCAGCGGGATGGTCTGTTCTAGGCAGAACTGTGACCTTTGACCTTACCCATGCACCCTTCCTTTCGTGACCATTTTCTTCTCTTTCATAGCTCCCATTCCTACGTAGAAAAAATTTTAAAAACTATCCACAAAAAAATTAATATTTGTCTTCACGCTAAAAGTGAGACAAGCAGGATACAATGGTTACTGGGGGTTAAAAACACAAGCATTATATTCTTAAGATGTGAGCATTTCACTGTATGTAAACCATATCTCAAAAAAATTTCAGTAAAAAATACATGAGTCCTGTAGTCAGACCTGGGTTCAAGTCCCAGTTCACATGTTTCCTAGCTACGTGACTTTGTCCTCTTAGAAACTCCGTTTCCTCGGTTGTAAAAGGGAAGTAATGCCTCACAGGATAACTATGCAGACAGAGTGAGAGCATGTATAAATGGCACTTAGCACAGTGCTGGCACAGGGGGTTATATGAATATTACCTATTTTTATTTACATTTATAGTAGCTATTTATATTTATCTGTAGTTTATAGGGGAAATTGCTGCCCGATGATCTGCTTCCTGGGGACCTATTTTAATTAGGGCATCTCCACTTGCCTCTTCTCATGCGACCCCTTTGTTCAGATAGGAAAAGGAAAGTCTGGGGACACAGCAATTTATGGGGTTTGGAACCTGGAGTTTTGGCTCTACCCGTGACTTACTAGAAACTGAACTTACTGAGTCCCTCTGAATCTCCCTTTCCCCAGCTTTAAAATGGTATACTAATACTACCCATTTCCTAGGGTTCTTGGGAGATTTATAACCCGACTCTTGACAGCTCTGAGAAATCAGACCTGCCTTTAAGGCTGGGGCAGTAGCTGTACCAATGGAACCTACCACAAGGGGGCAGGATCGCTACAACCAAGTTCCCACCTATCCCTGACGTTTCATTTTTTGAGCATACAGCCTACTTGTTATAATCAACTTGTATATTCAGACATATACATAAGTAGAATAGTATAATGAACCCCAATGTACCCAGCACCAGGCTTCAACAACTGTCAACATTTTGCCAACTTCCTCCCTCTTTTTGTTTGCTATACTGCTTGTGGAATAGTAAAGCACAGCCCAAACCTCATTACATTTTATCTATAATTCATCAACGTTTCATTCTAATTGAACAAGGCTTTTATTTCCACAGGCACTATGTCATTATCACATCTAACAAAAAAGAATAATAATACCTTAATCTATCAGTCCATATTCAAATTTCCCTGCTGGCACCACACATGACTTTTGACAGTTGGCACACTTGAATCAGGATCCAAGTAAGGTTATCGCATTTGGCACGTGTCTTGAGTTTTATACTTTAATATTCTAACTTCCTTTTGTAATTTCATGCCATGAATTTGTTGCAAAAACCAGGTCACTTGTCCTGTAGGATGTCCCACATTTTGAGTTGGGCTGAGTATGGTATCTGTCTATCCCCTGATTTCTGGTAAACTGGTAATTAGATCTTGGCTTGATTAGGCTTAGACTCTTTTTTTGCTTTTTAAGGCAGCAATATTTCATGGAGAGCGCTGAATCCCCCTCTTGGTAATGTTAAGTTCGGTCACTGGGTTCCGGCAGTGTCAGCCTAAGCTCTCCATTACAAAGTTCCCCAACACCTTTCATCCAATTGTTTTAGCATCATTTCATGATTGTCGCCTAGACTAATTATTTTATTAAGGTTTGCAAAATCATACTTTTCTAATCCTACCATTTCTTTTGTATTTATTAGTTAGAATTCTTCTACAAAAAATAACTTTTAGCTATTTTTTGGTTACATGCACTATAACTGATCAATGACCAGAAAAATGTTTATTTCTCTTTATCAATGTTCAGACTAATTGTTGATTCACTATAAAACTTCATTGATAACAATGTGTTGTTTTCCTTAAGTATCATTATTAATGGGTTCTTCTATATTTTATGTGTTATGATCAACGGAAGTCATTATTTTTCTTTTCATCCTCAAATTGTTCCATCTTAGGCCAGTAGGGCCCTTCATATTGGTTCCTCAGTCATTTTTACATGACCCCAATAGTCTTTGATAGCTTCCTGGCTTCCAGACACAAGATGACCCAACCTCATCTTTCCTGCTCCAGATCTGGATCCAGCCATTTATCAAAGGAGTCTTGATTTTCTTTGCTAAGTTTTTAATTTTTTTAAAACTGGAAAATGGTGTTTAGAGACCAAACCTGTGCATTAGGGGTATTCATTACTACTGGATTGGTGATTGTTTCTAGGCCTTTTCAGCAGAAAGTAGAAAACACACTTTTTAAGAGGAAAATACATACTTCATTCATTCTGCTAACTCAGATATAAAATGATCCCAGGCTTGTTTAAAAATTTTTAAAGACGTATTTTATTTATTTATTTGAGAGAGAGAGCATGCGGGGTGGGGGTAGAGGGAGAGGGAGAGTCTTAAGCAGACTCCCTTACAAAGATACTTTCCCAGGCCCCAGCAATGTGCTCATGGGGCCATTTTGTGATCTTTTTCCTAAAGAAAACACCCCCAATTTTTTAAGCTTCAGACTCCATAGAAACTGAACCCACATCACAATCTTTAGTCAGCCTATCTTCGGGGTTACGGAGTTGGATTTCAAGTCTCAGTTCAGCAGTCAGCTTGAGAGGAGGGACTCCTATATTTAATGACTGAGACAAACAAAAGGAAAAGGCTCTTCTGACCAAAAGAGATAACCCCTCTCCTGATTCTGATCAATTACCCACACAGGTATTAAGGCCTTCTACAGTTTCCCTCTAATTTCAAGGGCAGAAACTAACCTTGGCTGGCATCAGTATCCCCAGCAGAGAGCTGAAGACTGGTAGATGGCACTCGGAACAAAAGTCTAAACAGATTATAGAGCAGGGTGTTGTTGGGTTTTTGGCGGGGGAGTTATACCAGGACAGTGGGTATTCAAGGCAGGTACACCCCCCCCCCAAAAACTACACAACTTTTAGTCAAATAAGGCAGAGGTCTGTTTCCTCACCTGTAAAAACAAAGGTTAGCAATAAAGCCTACCCTGTGGGATTTGGTCAGGATTAGAAAAGCTAATTTAAAGACCTAACCCAGTCCCAGACTCTTAAGGAGAAGGTCCATAAATAGAGGACAGCAAATATAACGGGAGAGTGGTTGATCCTTGCGGGCGCTGACAGGGATTCTTTGCACATCGTGCCTACTGCAGCACTAGGAGGAGGAACAACCACTTTATTGACAAATAGTAGGTGCAGAATAAATTGGTGAAGAAGGGCCGGACGTTTCTGGCGGATGCTTACTGATCTGTGTAACTAACTGAATAATGGGTTGGTCCGAGGCTCTGAGTCACTGACAGTCCCGGGCTAGCTGTCAGGCGACTGCGTGCCGGGATCTGACAGACCGCTGTCCGTCGGGCCGCGAGAACGGCTGTCTTCGCGGTCCGTCCCGGCCCCGGCCGCCTCGGACCGCCGCCGGTCGCCGCGCGCTGGCTGGATCCCGACTTCCCGCGGGGGGACGCCGCCAGGCAGGGCCTGCGCGGGCGGGCAGCGGCCAGGTGCGGGCGCCGCCGCCGCTTCCTCCCCGCGCCGGGCAGGGCGCCCCCGACTCCCGACCGCCGCGGCCCGGGAACAATGAGGTGCCGGCTTCTTTAAGGGAGATACCACCGCGCCGGCGGGGCAGGGGACGGCGTCCTCCCAGATGATCGCACCCAGTCCCGCGCCGCCGCCGCCTGGGCAACTGCACCGTCCGCAAACATGGCTCAGTGACTCTGACAAAAGGTGCAGCCTCCCTCCCGGCGGGGCGGACGCCAGGCCTCCCAGCTCCGGCCGCGCCTCCCCGCGGGCCAGCCGAAGAGCTCCGCGTCCCGCCGGCACCCCAGGCCCGAGCCGAAGAAGATGCACCAGGCGTTCCGCCCCAGCGACCTCCGCACACCTGCCCGCAGCTCGGTAGGTGGGAAGGGGGGCGGGGAGGGAGCGGGGAAGCCGCGTCGGGCGCGCGCACCCCCAGGCCCGGACCTGCTGCCGCAGACCATCCCCGGGGCCCGCGGGCCGTGCGCGCCCGCTGCGGCTGGACGGTGACCGAGCCCCGGCGGGCAGCGGCCTCCCCGTTCCCGGGCCCGGCCACCCCTGCGGGGAGGGGCACTAGTGGTGCGTTCCGGAGCGCGCACACCTTCGGCGACTCCCGGCTCCGGCGAGCCGCGGGAGAGGGAGGAGGCTGGCAGAGCGCGGGGCGCGCGCCCAATAGGGATGGCGCTCGGCGTCCCGGCTCGCGCTACGGAAAGCCGGAGGGGGGCGGGGCCGCGAGGCGTAAGGGGGTGTGTCCGCGCGCACCACGGGGGCGCGCGCCGGTCTCTGACTGGAGGCCGCGGAGGCTGAGGCGCGAGCTGCCCGATAATGGCGGCCTGCAGAGCCCGTGAGAGGGAGAAGCGGCGGCGGCTATCCTGAGGTAAATTTGGCCCTTAGGCCTGGCACGGAGGCCCTGCTGCAGAGCCGAGGGCTTTGCATGCGCCTCCCTCCCCGGGAGGCCTGTCACAGACCTGTCAGCGGAGTCATGCTAAGGAAGGCCCCGCGCTCCTCAGGCCTCCGGCCCGCACCCCTCAGGCCACCGGCTCCAGCTGCGGCCTCCTCCCCAGGCCCCGGGCCTCAGCCGCCAGCCACGAGGAGTTGAGGCAGCCGCAGGACTGGCTCCTCGGAGTGAAGGGCCCCGGGAGGATCCCCTCCGGGTTTCGTCTGGACGCCGCCGGGGAGGGGGAGGGCCTGATACTCGGCCAATGAGCGGGGCGCTGAGCCGCCGCGTCGGACACCACCTCTGCCCAGGACTGGCGGTTCCCGGGCCCGGCAGGTGTGTGGCCTGGCGGGCCGGCCGCCGAGCGCTGCCTTAGCGGGGCGGGCGTGAGGGCCCGGGCAGTGCCGGCCGGTCGCGTGGGGTCGCATCCAGGGACTTCGTAAACGCCCTGCCTCCCCCTTACTCGGGTGCTCTTTCGTGTGTGGGTATGGGGCCGCTTGCAAGACAGGAGCCACTTTGAGATAGATAGTGATTGGTGATCCACGGAGAGCAGGAAAGAGTGTCTACTGTGGACCTGGGGCCAGGACTCCGTGGCAGGATATCAGACACTAGGAAATGCAGTCGGAATTTGAAGGGGGGTTCCAGTTAGGGGAAGTGGGACTAAGAAGTGATCTCAGAAGCTTTCATTTTCTTTATTAAATCTATCCTGTGGACTTAAAGTGGCTGTACCCATTTTTTCAGGCCCAAGAGTCAGTAGCTTCTTGTTCCCCCAAACTATACACTATGAAGATTGGACAGTCTCTTGCCCATCGTGGCAATCTACAAATAAGAATTTGTTCCTGAAGCTCATTAGAATCCTAACATTCTTTGGAGAATGATGTGGCACACTTTAGACTTTCTTGATTCAACTCATGAGCATTTCTGTGTAGGGCCTTTGCTTCTGCCTTTAAATGATTTATCAAGTTGAATTCGAAAGAACCGTCAGAGGACAGTTTTTGGTGGCAAAAATGGCCTATATCTAAATAGCTGTTGTTTAAATTTAACAACAGAAAGGTAACAATATTCTACGTAGCTTGCTTTATTTTTAGAGGACCATTTTTCTCCACAGACTTTATTTTCATTTATTTTGCAAGAAATGAGGAAATAACACAAACGAAATTAAAATAGGGACATACACAGTTTACTTTAAAAAAAAAAAAAACCCACATTTTCAATTCTATATGTAATCTGGTTCACTTTCAGTCCCTAAGCACAAGCCAGGTGTTTGTATTTCTAACTTGTGAGGTTTTTTTGTTTTTGTTTTGACAATTTTACGAACTTTTGTGTGTGTCAGCTTTAAGGAGAAGCTGGAGTTTCTTTTTTCATGATCAGTAAATGAGAATGATGAATTTTTTGGTTTATTTTTAACAGTAATATTTTGAAGCAGTTTGTATGAGAGCCAGTATAGTGTAATGGTTATGGTTATGAATGGCAGAGCCAGATGGCCTGGTTTCAAAACCCAGGTCCACCAGTTAGTAGCTGTTTTACATTAGGCATGTTGCTTAAACTCTCTGTGCTTTAGTTTTCTCATCTATAAAATGACCATAATAGTATCTTTCATAACATTGTTGTGAGGACCAAATGAATTTAATATTATGAAGTGCTTAGAACAGTTCCTGATACATGGTAAGTACTACCAAAGTGTTAGCTGCTTTATTATTATTATTATTCAAGTATTTAGATTTGCCCAAGTTGTATCAAATATCTTTCAAGCACTGCAAACAGTGAGGCAGATAATTAAATCATACATAAGAAGGTATACAAGCCAGTAAGTATACTTAATTTCAACAGAACACTTTTTGATTTGTTGATTTTTCCAGAAACTTTGACCTTGAAGATGGTGAGTAGCCAGCCAAAGTACGATCTAATACGGGAGGTAGGCCGAGGCAGTTACGGTGTTGTATATGAAGCAGTCATCAGAAAGACTTCTGCACGGGTGGCAGTGAAGAAAATTCGATGCCATGCACCTGAAAATGTTGAACTAGCCCTGCGTGAGTTCTGGGCCCTAAGCAGTATCAAGAGCCAACATCCAAATGTGATTCACTTGGAGGAATGCATCCTACAGAAAGATGGGATGGTGCAAAAAATGTCCCATGGCTCTAATTCTTCCCTTTATTTACAGGTATGTGTGGTTGAATGGGAAATAGAAATAACTTGAACTTAGTATTGGTCAGCAAGAAGAGGAATAAAAGAGTCAGATGAGCTTCTACTTTTAAATGCAGGTATTTATATAGTTAGGAGTAGATAAGGTCTGCCAAGAACTAAGTAGATGTTTGCTTTAAAACAAGGTTTTATTTAAACCTATGATGCAAATACCTAAAAATAACATAAGCCACCTGTTATGCCATGGTACTTGCCAATCTGCATGGGAATGGGGCAACATAGGAGCTAGAGAAGTGATCAAGATTAGAGTCTAATAAAGTTCACTTATTTGAAATCAAGTTTTTTGGAACTGAACCCAGAAGAAAAGGAAAAACTCCACAATCAATAGCAGTACCCATATAGGTAATTTGGGCATTTCTTTATAAATTACTGATTTGAATATAAGCCTTTGCTGTTTTAGAGGGTTGTGTGGTTTCTTAACCATGCAACTCTAGTTAATTTTCATGAAGTATGTGGCATAGCACTAGAATGTTTTAATAGTGCTAATAGCTAACATTTGGGTTCCTACTCAGTTCCACACTCTGTGCTAAGTGTTTTAAACGCAGTTGCTCAGAACAATCCTGTGAGGGTAGTACTATTATTATCATCATTACAAATGAAGAAACTGAGGCTTAGAATAGATAATGAATTTATCCAAGTCACATATCCAGCAATTGGCAGAATTGGGAACTGAATGTAGGAGACTATCTGACTGCTAAAACTTTGTTCCTTTAACTTCCAAGTTACTCTTGCCTTCAAATTACGTTTTTTGTAGACCTGGGGAAAGCATTAACATAGGAAAAAGGTTTGTTTGTTTGTTTGTTTTTTAAAGATTTTATTTATTTATTTGACAGAGAGAGACACAGCGAGAGCAGGAACACAAGCAGGGGGAGTGGGAGAGGGAAGAAGCAGGCTTCCCGCAGAGCAGGGAGCCCGATGCGGGACTCCATCCCTGGACCCCGGAATCATGACCTGAGCCAAAGGCAGATGCCCATCGACTGAGCCACCCAGGCGCCCTGTTTGTTTATTTATTTATTTGCTTGGTTGGTTGGTTGGCTGGCTGTTGGCATAGATTAAAATCTCCAGTAGGCCTATATTTGCTAAAGAGAAAAGATACTTAAGACATAGCTAGTTAAAGGCCAGAGAAAAATTTCTTAAGTCCAGTCATTCTTGGAAAAGGAAACAACTTTCCATGAGTATGTCTAAATTGAGAATTTTACCATCAGGGCACAGAAGTATGATTTTAAAACAACAGAAGCTTTTGGACCAGGACCAACAAAGAAACAAACACATTAATCTTTGTCATTAGAAACTTGCAGCTTTCATTATATGGTGAACAAATATCAATCTTGAGAACCTAATTTATATTGCAGTTTAGCATGCTATATCCTGAAGTTTTACCTCTTAAGACAGTGACTATAGGGCACGTGGGTGGCTCAGTTGGTTAAGCGGCTGCCTTCAGCTCAGGTCATGATCCTGGAGTCCTTGGATCGAGTCCTGCATGGGGCTCCCTGCTCGGCAGGGAGTCTGCTTCTCCCTCTGACCCCCCCCCC